TGCCATAGTGAAGTGAATAAATGGGACTCAAGCAAGCTGTCCAAACAGCTTTCTCCTGGTTCTCCTACTGATCTAAATCTTTGTTGATTTTATCTTATCCAACCAAATTCTGGACTCCCACACCTCCTGGCACAATCCTCCCACCTTTTCTCTTCTGTCTGCTCAAACACACAGGCTGGGTGATCTCATACATCCCCATAGCTTTAAATACCCTCCACACGTTGACAACTTCTAAATTTACATCTCTAGTCCCATCTGTCATCCCGAACTCTCCAGACATCTGTATCCAGCTGCTCCCTCAGCAAGGTTACTTAGATATCCAGTAGGCATCTAAAGAGACTCAAATTTTTAACTATTTCTTCCCCAGCTCCTTCTTCATCTCAATTAATGCCAACATCTATGAGTTGCATTATTTTTTTTTTCTTTTCAGCATTTAACCACCATCAGACATAGTTTGTTTAATGCCTGTGTTTTTCCCAACAGAATGCAAGCAGCAAGAACAGTCCGTCACAACATGTACGGACTAGAAGGGACTGATTTAGGCTGTACGGACATGCAGGCCCCCAGGGGAAATGTGTGGGGTAGAGTGCAAGTGACAAGATGAAGCCAATGGGAGGATGTGGATCAGGACGTTCAAGGGAAGGACACGACAAATGCAGAGGTCTACGTCCAAAAGAAGCATGGAGGGGCGTATTAGGAGAAACTGAAGCTCCTGTGGCTGGAGAACAAGAAGAGTGGCAAGATGGGAGGAACGAGGGGAAGAGTGTGGTCCCAGGAATTCAGGGAGAGGAAATGAGAAGTTCAAAGCCCTAGAGGCAAGAGAGTTAAACACTCAGTTTTTGATACAAATAACAAGAAGTGACCCAGACATCTTCCAGAAAGCCTCAAGGGATCATCTCATGCTTCCTTAAGTGGTTCTGTTGGTGTGTAAGTATTTGTTAGTAACTGAAAAAGTAGTTCCTACCACTTTTTGTTGCATTAGAAACACACATTTTTAGTTGGCCTTAGTTTAAAGGCCTTCACATGTTTTTTAAACTCAAAGTTAATAAGAAGCTAAAAGGAGGTTCCTTTTTTTTTTTAAAGTCAATGTTTCTTTGGGCTCTTTTTCTGCAAATAGCCTTTATGTTACCCTGATGATATTATATCCATCTTACCAATCGTGGTAAGTCATTGGAGACATGAGAATTTGTTGAAACTGTTAAGAGTCCTCTCTCATCTCCTCGAGCTTTTATTTCTCTTTAGTCACTATTTTGACATATATAGGTTTTAGGCAGATTCCACAAAATATGTCATGATTTATCACTGGAGAAGAAAAGCATTGATTAAATGGCTTTATAATCAATTACAGAACTCCTTTCACTTTCCTAGTATATAGACTGAAAATATCCTACTGATGGGGGCTTAAGATTTGGAAAATTTTAATTTAAGTAATAGTAATTTAAGTATTAGTAATTTTACTAATAAGCTTAGTAATCAATGCATGTAAAAGCTTTTGTTCCAGGAACTGAAGGTATGACCCACCCTGACTCCAGACCATAAGCAGTTCCACCTTTGTTCCTCAGGGGGACTGCAAGCAACTCAAGATGATAGCTAAGCCACTGTACTCCCAGGTGAGATGACCACTGCCCAGGACACAGCTAAAGACCACTGCCTGGGGCACAGCTTAAGACCACCACCCAGGACACAGTTAAAAACCACTGCCCAGGGCAAGAATGCTGGAGTTGTTTTTTTTAATCCAATTAACTCCTCCTAGAATTTCAAAACCCCTCACCATACCTTGTTTATTCCCTGCTATAAAAACTTTGGCCTTGAAAGAAAAGACAAGATGGTCTATTAGGGTATCAACCCACCATCTTCTCAGGTCACCAGCCACCTGAATAAAGCACAGACGAAGATTCAATTCCTGTCTCTGCTTATTGGGTTTGGTAAGTGACAGGCAGCCCTAATGCTGGTGTTTCTTCCAGTTTCACTACTTCCAAAATGAAGTACTAACTCTTCAGCACATCTTTATATAAAATCTGCTACCAGCTACTCCTTCCGTTGTAGTAACATCATATGACTAGAAGTATTGATTAATTCACTCAAGTGTTTCGATTTGTGTGTTTACGGCTTACTTTTATAGAATCTTTGTGGAAATGCAATCTATTAGGCTTTTATCTGTAAAGATTTTTCTCATTATTTTGCATTCTTTATTTCAGACCTACTCCGAAACAACAGGAAAAAACAAGCAAAACCCTCAATATGACTTCAGTCATAAACACAGAATGTCCTTCTTGCCCCAACATGAGAAACATGGCTGAAAGCAAAAATGATGATCTTCGAAGCACTATGAGCTAGTGATCTAATCTCCATCTCCATTGCTTATAAGACACTCTATCCCATTCCTCACCCATTTCTTCTCCTTGGCCATGGTCTTCTATCCTGTCATCATATTGGATGTCTCAAGATCCTGCTCATAAAACATCTAAACTTCTGAGCTCTGCCTTCTTGATTCCTGAGGCCTGCCTTCCTGCTCAGCCACATCTTAACTTCATTATCTAAACCAGCTCCATTGCCAACTTCAATATTCAAATTTCACTCCTGATCACAACGGCCATGTCCTCTCTTAGAATCTCCTCTGTCCCTAGTGAACCTTGAACACATGAGACAACTCACCATGCTCGCCCTTTCTGCTTTCTAAGGCTCTCAGTACCCCCCTCCTATCTCAGTTATCCTTGTATTCAATCAGGACCCATTGTCCCGTTTACACAAATCCACGTCCCTACAATCCAGCACCATGTCTTTGTCTGCCACCCGCCAACTCGAATCTGACCTCCTAACTGCTCTTACTGCTCATAGCCCAAGGTTCTGCGCATTGCTAGACAAATCTATGAGAAGGCATGATAATTTGTCTTTACGTGACATACTTATAATGTCTAACTTCAGTGACTACTGTTGACAAGTAGTCCCTTTTTTCTTGTATAACAGGGAAAATTTTCTTGTATACATGTTCCCAAATGCTCTAAACTACTTCTACAAACTCCTCTCACAGCAAAGGACCACTCCTTCCTAACACTATTACCCCCCTGCCCAACCAACGGTGCAAAGTTCTATATCGAAACCAGCCCTTTCTTCCTTTTCCCCCGGCTCAGAGGAAGAGCTTTCCCCCTGGTGCTTATGGGTCTCCTCAGTGCTATAAGGACATTCCTCGGGCTCCCTTTCCCCTGCATGCTACAATGTACTTTCCCATAGTCTTCACACTAATACATTTTTCTAAAATCATAGTTCATGCTAGTTGGTTTATAACTCTTCTGAATTATTGGCACAGGATTTGAATCACACCCTCCCTCAACCCAGAACTATGTATTCCCCTGGCTTCCATGCCATTGCCAGCTCTTTATCTGCACATATTTCTAACCATTCTTTCCCTGTTTCTGTCAGCATCTCCTCTTCTGGGCCATAAGTACACATACTACCCACATCTCCCCATGGAACTTGGACTACAATTGCGTAACCTCAGAAAGTTGGAGTGAGCATTATGTGTAAAGCACTTAAAAGTGTCCTATTTAGCCTCAAGACTCCAATCAAAGTCACCTCCACAGAAAATCTTTCTCTGACCTCCTCATTATGGGAGACTCACCACCCCTGAATGGGTCAGTGAGTCTCCCATAATGGTTTACATGTATCCAGTACGGATCATATAGTATGGCTCGCTCTCTGATACTGGGACCAGACACAGGGTAGGCTGATGTTTCCTAAAAAATATGGTTACCGCCTCTCCTGATATTACTTCCATAGCTTAGCTCTTTGTCAACATGGCCACCAAATTAATCGCTCTTAAATCCCATATTTATCCTTTCATTTTCTATTCAAAAACTTCTAGCAACTATCCTACAGCCTGTAACAAACACCAAAACTTCTTAGCCCAGCTCTTAAACCCCACATATGGGCAAAACTACCAATCTTCTACTAATACCTTCTAAGAACTATCTTCCTTACCCACAAATGTACACAGCCCTTTCTCCTGCCTTGTAGCCTCTACTCAGGCTCATTTGTTTGATTGCCACATCCTTGTTCTCTGATTCTTCCCTGGCTCAGGCAATGTTTCCTATGAGTCAAGGCCACCTTAGAAATATCTTCCTCAAATTGCTCTCCCTTATCCATTTAGCAAAATGATGCCAAACTGTGCTGCATTTCTAACCCATCTGGTCCACACTCATGTTTTTTTATGTGCACATGTAATCCTCTAACAGGACAGTGAAGTACAGTGAAATCAAAGATGATGTCTTAAAGAAGTGTGTAACCTTCACTGTAACTGATTATCAGCATCTTCATCACCAGGTGTTAATAAATGTTAATAAGTATTTAACATTTATTATGTGCCAGGTGCTACTCCAGATGCTTGACAACAATTTTGGGGGCATATCAAACTATTTTTACCATGTACATATGGGAAGACTTGGTCATAGACAGGGGCCTTCACAGGAATTTGAACACAATGGTTACAGAATTATATTTGTGAATGGATAAATGTACTGCTAATAAGCAAGCATTGATACTGTCATAAAAATTAATTCATCAACCTAGAGTGTTTTGCCCTTTTTTCCCAGCCCAGCAAATCCATCCTTCAATACCCAATTCAAACGTGGCCTTTTCAAAAGAGTCTCCTGCTAACACCTTGGCAAAGAATTGCCTTCAACATTTGTAATATGTCTTTATTATAACAGTAAGGTTATTTAGGAGTTTGCTCAGTTAGAATGGGTTTCACAATGGCAGTTTGCTCAATACTTTTAACTCATAAAAATTAACTGGAAAGCAAAATGAATGTAATTTGGATCTACAAATGAAATAAATAGAAATGGCTTACCTTAATTGATGACAATCATACAATTTTTTACTAACATTTAGTATATGCACCAGATTATAAAGTCTGATATGGCTAAGCCTACTTCAGAAGGTCTATTCTTTCTTTTATTTTTTATCTAAACAAAGCGTTATTAAGAAATGAGTGGCAGACTTACCAGTCTTCTCCTTTCTTCTTCTACTGTGATAAGTAGTCTTGCAAATTCTTTTAGTGACTGAGCTGTTTAGAAGACAAATGTTAAAAAGAAGCATTAACCTTTTTTTCCTTGCTAATATTTAACTGCACAGGTATATGCATTATAATAAACTACTTATAAATCTATTTATATTCTATGGGCTTATATATATATATATTTTTTGACACATAAACAGTTTTTTTATCCTCCTCCTCCTCCTCCTCCTCTTCTTCCTCCTCTTCCTCTTCATCTTCTTTGTCTTCCTCTTCCACCTTTTTCTGAGCAACTTCAGTGGGACCCTTTGCACCATCAAATTTTCCTTTAGACTTATAGTCAGTGACATCCTTCTCATACTTCTCCTTCAGCTTTGCAGCCTTTTTGTTGTAAGGCTGCTTTTCACTGTCACTTAAGTTATTCCACACCTCTCCCAGCTTCTTTGCCACATCTCCAATAGAGATGCCAGGGTTTGTAGATTTGATCTTGGGGCGGAATTCTGAACAGAATAGGAAGAATCCAGACGGTGGCCTTTTGGGGGGGCACTGGGGTCCTTCTTCTTCTTGCCTCCTTCGGCTGACCCATAGCCCTTCATTTCCGATCACAGCGTACTTTATCTGCCTTTGTCATCTCATCAAATTTAGATTTCTCTTTCCCCGACATTGTCTTCCACCTCTCAGAGCACTTCTTGGAAAATTCTGCAAAATTGACAGGAACCTCTGGGTTTTTCTTCTTACGTTCCTCTCTGCGTGTCTGCACAAAGAAGGCATAAGCAGACATCTTGCCCTTTGGCTTCTTGGGATCACCTTTAGTCATCCTGACTGAATTGCTTCTTTTTTCCCAGTCGCCCAGGTAGAAGAAAGGTGGAGGGGGCGGGAAGGGCGAGAAGAGGAGAAGCAGGAGGCAGCGGCAATGTGACGCGCTGGCTGCGGCACGGACTGCAAAGTTGTCTATGGGCTTATATTTTTATAAGCATAACACAGTATACACAACAGAATTGCAATAACTAACAGCTATAGGTAAGACATGTTTGTGTGCTACAAACTGAAGTTAAGCACATACCAAGTATAATATTTTTTTCTTTAAAGACACTAGGGGAATATAGTTTATATACTTAAAATATGACTCACATTAATAAATAAAAGCATACTGGAGTCACTTCTAAACACAATATTACAAACAATGAAAAAATTAAATCTTAAGAAGCAATAAACACAATGCAAAGTCTCCTACTGACTGCTTTCTAGAAGTGTAATGGATTCTGTATTCCTCCCATATCCACAATATTTTAGACCTCTGCTGGTCAGTGTGCTCACATGACCACTAGCATCAGCATTTTGGGAACTTAGACAAATAGACTCTCAGGCCCCACCCCCTAATCTGCATTTTAATAAGATCCCCAGGTGACCTGTTTACATTATAAGTTGACAAGCACCGCTTTAGAAAACTATATGATCCTCTATTGCTGTGGCATGGGGAAAGGATCAAGTATTCAGAAACTTTAAAAGAATAAACCAAAAATAAATAAAAAGGAGTTACAGTAGCCTATTCTTTAAAAACATGCATGGTCCCAAACAGCAATTGTGAAAGAGGAATTTATCCACATTCATCTTTGTACCTTATGTTTAATAGAATTATTAACTAAAATCAGAATGTTTAGTTACAATACTAAGGAAACAAACAAGATCAATGGGTTTTCATTTCAGCTTTGAGTCTTCCCTTCAGCATCTCCATCCTTTAGACTTTCCCCGTCCCCTTCCTTCACACACAGTAACACTGAAAACATTCTGTGAGGCCAGTCTAGTAAGTCTGGCAGAAAGCCTACAATAAAGACAAGTGAAGAAAACAAATCAAAAGCCACATCAACAGAATTTATTAAGAAAGAGAAAGAATGTTTTTCATTTAAGAATTTTAAACTCTCATCTAGGATTTTTTTTTCCCTCTTCAGAACTGCTAGGTTTACAGTAAACTAAGCTGGTTTGAAATTCTATCCCTAAATTATTCCAAGTTGGGTTTCATTCAGTTACCAAAACAGAAATCAAAGGATTACCTAGGAGACTCAGATTAATCTGATAAACGCGCTAATGGCCTCAGAATAAGGATACATTTTTTAAAAGTTAAAAGTTTTAATTTCTTCAAAAACAACCCTATCAATGTTAAAACACAACCCAGTTTTGACAATAGTTAAGTATATGAATTTTAACTGGAGTGCATAATAACATATTTTTGTACTTTCGGTAAAGAAAGCATTCCATCATCATTCTGGCAGGTATGTACTGCCACCAAAGATCTCTGTTGTTGAGCCTCAAAAGAATGTCGACCAAATTTTGGGTGATGGAAGGCAATATTGACAAGACTACAGAGAAAGAAGCCAAGAGAGAAGTCAGTTTGGGCTATAGGAATTGAGGCAGCAGGTACTCCAGAAGCTGAGAAAATAAGGGAAGATATAAATAGAAACACAGTTGAAAGTTAAACAAACAACATTAACCCCAGATTTCTAACTCAATGCCTCCCAAACTATTTAATAAATATCAGGAAGTAAAGGAGGAAGGAAGAGAGGGAGGGAGGGAGGGGAAGGGAGGGGAGGGGAGACCTTACCTGCATGTTTCCTTTTCTTGGAATCTACTGGATGACGAACTCTAACACAACACAGGAATAAGCCAAGAAAAGAGGATACAGAGTCCAGAACTAGGAGATCCAATATAGAAAAGAAGCAAATGGAGTTCTCAGGACAACACAGATACATATTCCAAGACAACAGTTATGCCAAAGGTCCAGAGAGGATCTTATTTAGACTGAAGCAATTAGATTAGGGGTTTCAGGAAATGTGTCCCCATGGGAAAAAAAAAAATACAATTGGTCAATATCCTGATGTAGCTGAATGTAATGAGAGGATATTTACAATCTTTTTTTTAAAAGAAAAGACAAAGGCAATTATTAACTCCTGGGAAAATAAAGTTATATATAATAATAAAATAAATAAAATAGCTGAATTGTAACATGTACAAAGTCACTGTAATATAAACATTAAATATTGATTTTGCCAAAATTAAGTTTTAGCTCTTTTGAAAGAATAAGGGAAAGGAGCATAAATGATAGCATGAATTCCAGATATATGATAAGAGTACACAGTAAAAAGATGATATCTAAAACTGAAAAAAAAAAAAGATAAGTAGCAAGATATTTGTGATCTTTAAGGAAATGTAAGAAATGGTTAAAAGTTCAAAGTGGTCAGGAATTAAGTGGTGGAGAATAGTAAGACAGAAAATGGCCAGTTTGTTTTTGTAAATCCTTACCTGAGGATATATTTATTGATTTTAGGAAGAGAAGAAGGGAGGGTGGGAGGGAGAGAAAGGAGAGAGAGAAACATCCATGGGTTCCCTCCCATATGTGACCCAACCTGGGATCAAATCCCAACTGTTTTTTGTTTTTGTTTTGGAGTACGGGACCATGTGCTAACCAACTGGGCAACGTGACCAGGCAAGGGTATTGCGAGAGTTTAAGTTCAATAAAAATCTATAACTTTTTAAGTAAATAATAACAATAAAACATGTTATTACTGCTTTTGTTTCCTACCGCCCTAAATTCTAGGAGGGCATAAATCACACATTATTAATTTCCAGAAAGAGTTAAGTAAATATCTAGCACACAAAAGCCTGTCAGGTATTTTTGGAATAAATAAAAATATAATGTTGATTTTAGAGTGGCAGAGGTACACTGGAAACTTCCACTTGGTCAACCTGGAAAATGATCACTGGTCCACTCCCTGGTGACCTAAAAGTCCCAGGCAGTATGTTGCTATGGTGACCGTCTAAGTCCACAGGCTTCCCCCAGAGAGCTACCGCTCTGAGGAAACTGTGGGGTTGCCTTAAATCTGTTTTGATTACAAGTAAGGCAAGTCTGTTTGTCATGCTGTTGTACCCCTTTGTCCCAAAATAATAATTCTGAATTCTCCTTCACTTGGTTATCTGGTCTGTTTCCAATATAAATACTATTTATAGTCTCAGTACCTAATGATTGATCAGAATGAGGATGTCAAAGGAGAAAAATTCTAACATGCAAAAGCAACCACGTCTGGTTTCCCACAATGCAAAGCACTCTCATTCCAGCTGTTTCCTGAGCCTGCCCCCAATTTAACAAGTTTTGTACTCTCTTTTTCTTTTTTTTTAATTTTTCAGGGAAATGACTTCAAAAACATTTTTCTCTTTATATGTTATAGTGTCAGTTCCATAGAAGTATCTATTTCTTGGCCCAAATGAAGATAGATACACATTTGTCATTTGTTCTATTTAAAAAAAAGAACAGTAAATATATCACGAATTAGTGAAAGTGGCCTACCAATTTTTTAAATCCATACCTAATGTTTTCCCCTAATCTTTTTACTTATAACGATGCCAAAATATTATATTAACAGTTTATTAAGCAGGAGGTAACATGAAGAAAATAGTATTTAACTATACTGTGAAGCAGATACAAAGTAATTTAAGGTAATATCTTTTAAATTGGCTTTTAGGGTTAAGGGATGAAGGGCAGCCAGTCCCTTCCCAGCCAGCCTTAACCTCAAAGCAGCGGGAACCTTTAACACAAGCTGGACAGGCCCAAGCTGCCGAGTGTGCCCCAGGAACTCTCTACTCGGAGGCCAGTAACAGAAGCTCTGGTGCAGCGGATCTAGGAATGCCTTAAAGAGACTATGAAAACTGGCGGGAGTCTATCCTCCATGAGACCTTGAGCAGAAAATAGGTACAAAATGAGGCCCCCGACACCCATCACAGTGCCTTATACAAACCAGCTGTTGCTTTTGTGACTGCTAGAGCCATTCCATCAAAGACTTTATTTAAGCAAAATCCTGAAACATGTATTACCTGCAAATTTCTAATACTTTCTAATACTTTTTTATCAGCAACTATATGTGATGTCCCATATTTTATTAATGAATATTAATATTTACATAAATAACTATTTCATTATCTGATTGGGAGGCCCATACTAATTCGAATATAACAGCTGGTCCTACAATTACAGGTGGTATGACAGGAGCATGATTTAGTGA